TTATTATTTCATGTAAGAGGCAAATCGGCCGGGGGGGGGGGGTCTGTCTTTCCCCGCTGTCTCTGTGGGATGCTGGGAGATGTCAGGTGTTCTCAGGGCTCTTGTCAATCGTGCAGGAAAGGTGAGACCAGGGTCAAGATCTTGAAGGATCCCAGCTCGCTCCCAGAGAGATGTGTCTATAAAGTCACTCCTAGAATGGAATGTGACTCCATCCAGCAGGGAAGGTCCTACACAGAACTGTGTATGTTCATTCATTCAAACAAATATTTATTAAGGGTCCTCATGGGCCAGGCATTAGGAGTATAGAAATAAACAAAATAGGGACCAGCAGATGGTGTAACGGTTACGTCGCTGGACTCCCACGTGGGTGACCGTGGTTCAAGTTCTAGATGTGGGGGCTTCAAACTCATGCCGGGCGCACGTGTGTGCATGCCCAAAATCCCAAGAGGAGAATGGAGGAGAAGGGATTGCGGCATGGCCATCCCCCAGGGGGGTGATTTCTCACTTTCTGTCTCTCTCTGTCTCTCTGGCTTGCATAGGTATCCTAAAGCAAAAATCTCTCTCTAAAAAAAAGAAAGAAAGAAACGAAATGGCTGTAGAGCCTGCCCAGCTGCGCTACCTGGGACGCGGCAGAGCTCAGTAGATGGCGCCACTGCTGGGTATTCCTACTCCGGAAGTCACTGAGGTGGAAGGAGACAGTTATTCACGCTCAGTAAGCGTTAGTTCTCTCCTTTCTACGGGAAGAGAGAGTAACTTGGCTATCTTTTCATTGGCCTTTGTTACTGTTTTAATCCGGGAAAGGATGGAGAAGGGCGGTCACTCTGGTCTGCGTGGGTCAGAAGGCAGTCATTAGCAAATGCGCATTTAACTCTGGCACTGTGCTGAGTGGTCTGGGGGAAGCATGGGTGATATGAGAGAGGGGTGGGGAGGGACCTGTGGAGCCAGCACCTTAAACAAGCACATTTTTTTAAATTCAGGGGCTCCAAAGTGGGGTCCCTGCTGCAGCAATAGCAGCAGCAATCGCCAGGAAACAAGCATGTTAGAAATGCAAATTCTTGGGGTCAGCGGGGGTTGGGAGGGTCATGGTTAGGACACTGGACTCCCACATGGCTGACTGCGGTTCAAGTCCCAAACCTGGCAGTTTTATTACTTATCATCTCTCTCTTTCTGTCTCTCTCATGAGCATGTGTGCCCTGTAGCAAATTAAATAATAATAATAATAATAATAATAATAATAATAAATAAAATAAAATTTTTTAAAGGGAGTGCTAGCCTTAAAAAAATGCAAATTCTTCAGGCCACCTCAGAACTACTGAGTTGGAAACTCTGGGGTCAGGGCACAACTATCTGGGTCTCAGTGGGCTCTTTGGGTGACACAGATCCCCAAGTGTGAAATTCGCTCTCGTGAGCTGAGACTGGAGGGAGGAGCTGGAGTTGGCTGAGCGATGGGAGGACAGAAGTCTTCCCAGGCAGAGAGGCCAGTATATGCCAGGCCCCTGGGGCAGGAAAGACCCCTAGAAGGAGGCAAGAGAGGCTGGGGTGTAGCAGGCAGGGTGAGCGTGGGGTGGAGCATCAGACCGTGAGTGCCTCAGGGACAACCACGGAGAGTGGAGGTTTCCCCTCAGTCCACTGGGATCCCCAAAGGGCTCGAGCAGAGGCTGTTGACGTCACAGAGCCCAGGCAGAGCCCGCAGCTGGCTCCTGGCTTCTCCTGTCTGTTCCCAGCTGTGCTGGCCACGCCTCCCCCAGCTGGATGGCTCCTTCCTGGCCCCCAGGGGTTAGCTGGGGTAGTGCTGGGGGCAGAGGTCATAGTGGAAGCCTTTTTCTTTGCATCCTAAGTCTTTTGATACCTAATGGGATTTTCTAACTGTTCGCATATATTTTATTGTTACCTTTTTTCCAAAAGTCAATAGAGGGCATCAAAACAGTGGAATTATAGGTTTCTTTTTTCTGCTCTACAAGAGCCTGAATTTTAAGGAATAAAAAAAAAAATGTATAGAGCCAGTCTCTATCACATGCTATTATTATTTGGTGACTTTGTTCTTCATTCATTCAGCAAATGTTTTCCGAGCACCCGCTAAGCCCTGGGCACTGTGCAAGCCCAGAGACAGAGAGGAAAAGAGACCGAACTCCTCCTCCGTGGGGCTTCCATTCTCACGGCAGGGGCCAGACAGTAAACAAATTGCAACAGCAAAACTCCCGTCAGACTGTGTCCAGGAGGGCAGTAAGACGCGCCAGGTGGGCTGGCCTGGGAAAGCCTGAGTTGGTGGCAGCTGGGCAGAAACTGGGGAGACGAGGGAACTCAGGGGCTGGAGGGTGGACTGGGCAGGGCAATGATGGGAGGAGGTAACAAGGCCCAAGGTGGGCACTGGCCTGAGGAAGAACGACGAGGGAAGGGCATCTGGGCTGTTGCACCCACGCGCCGGGGACCTGGCACTCTGAAAGGTCCCTGGCTGCTTTCTGAGACAGCTCATGAGGGGCAGGGCCAGACTGGGAGCACAGGCGGGAGGACCTGCTGCAATCCAGGGGGAGGGGACTGCTGAATGCAGAGGGTGGGATTCAGTCTAAGGGGACAGGCTCTGAGCTGGGGAGCAGGGAGGGCTTTGTTACTGAACTGGACACGGATGGGAGAGAAGGCTTGACGATGACACTGGCATTTTTTGTCCTGAGCAGCTGAGACGATAATGCTTCCATTTACAGAGCTGGGAGCCTGGAGGAGGAGCCGGCTTTGGGAGGGGAGGGTTTATTTGGTTCCAAACATGTGACGTTTGAGGTGCCATTGGTTAGTTTGGATCCTTCAAGGAGCAGATGTCAAGACAGGCTGGAGATGGGGAAAATGTCTGAAAGGGTCAAGGGGAAGGGCAGGAGGTGGCAGGGAGGACCTCAGATCATCGCCATGCGGGCCTGTGGCCTCAGGGAGGAGAGGGGACGGCAGGAGTCCCGGAGACCAAGACCCTCGTGCAGAGCTCAGTTCTAAGAATGAGCCCCAGATCAGGGGGGGCCCTTAGGCCCCATCTCCCCGCCCCATGGGCAGTCATAGCCTGGGAGAAGCCCACGGGGTGTGTAGCGTCCACTGGTGGGTCCTGCGGGTGGGGTGGCAGTCACAAAGTCCCCACAGAGACCATGCTGCTGTGAGTGGAGCGTCTTCACAGCTGCCACAGCCTGTTAGACATGTAAGAGGAGGTCTCGAGTAGGCCGTTGGGTATATGAGTCTGAGGTTCAATGAGAGGTCCAAGCTAGAGATAAAAATTTAAGAGTCTTCAGCTTATAAATGGTATTTAAAGGCACGAGTGGATGAGCAGGGGCAGAGCTGGCAGAGCGATGCGGTCCAAGGCCCTGGGCACACCTGCACTTGAAGGCTGGGGACATGGGAGGGGCCAGCCATGGTGGCTGGGGAAGTGGGCAGGGAGGCCAAGAATTTGTGAGGACCTCAAGGTCAAGTAAAGGAAATGATTCCAAGAGGAAGGAGCGCTGCGTTTCAGAGTACGGAGGTCCCCGACAGCGATTCCACGTGAGCACGCTCGGCTTTACGGCCGTGTGAAAGAAGCCCGCACCTCACGACCCCATGCTACTATTCTGGTTTTCACTCTCAGCACAGTATTTAATAAATTATGTGAGCTGGGGCCAGCTGCACTCCCACAGGGCCAACCGTGGTTTGAGTCCCAGACCCGGCGGCTTGAAAATCACACTGGGTGTATGTGCATGCATGCCTGAAGTCAGGAGAGGGGACTGCAGTGTGGCCATCCACGCTGAGGACTGCTTTCTCACTTTCTCTGCCCCTCTCTAGCGAGTACATGAGCCCCGTGACACAAACCTAAGAAAATAGTAATAATAAATTGCATGAGCTATTATGCAATGGGTTTCGTGTTCAATGAGTCCTCCAAGGGCAGGCTTATGGGAGCAGTGCCAGTGTCCCGAGCACGCCTACTGTGGGTGAGCGGTGGCGTTGGACAGGCTGGGCATGCCACGTACATCTGGGACTTACGACGCTTTCAACTTACAGTGAGTTCAGTAGGACGTGACCCCATCATAGGTCGAGGAGCATCCGTGCTCCATTACCATAAACAGCCCTGTGAGAAGGAGCAATTATCCCCAGTTTCCAACCTGGGAAAGTGAGGCACGACTTCAGTCACGTCCCGAATCTCACAGGTAGTCCGTGGCAGAGCCAGGGTGACTGGGCCAGTCTAACTGCAGAGTTCGTGTCCTTAACCATCCCTGCATGGACAGTGTGACAGGGGCCACTGATGCAGAGGCTAACTTCTGGCCCCAGCCAGACCCTGGAGCTCAGACACTGGCCTGTCGTTTGGAGGCAGCCAAGTTCCATTCCATACAAGTCTCCTCGCTGCTGTAGCCCCACAGAGCCCTCCGGAAAGACGTGTCCAGGGCCCAACTCGCTGGAACCTACACAGGAAATCTTATTTGGAAAAAGGGCCTTCGAAGGTGTAATTGAGGATCTTGGGTTGAGCTCATCCTGGGTCAGGAGTGAGTCCTAAGTCCCTGAAGGGTGTCCTTACATGGGAGAAAAGAAACGGGCACACAGACGCAGGGAGGAGGGGGAGTGTGGCACAGAGGCCAGACTGGAGTGACTCATCTACAAGCCATGGGACACAGAGGACCCTGACACCACCAGAGGTTGGAGAGAGACGGGCCGAAGGAACCCACTCTGCAGACACGGACCTGGGCTCTGGCCTCCAGGGCCCTGCTGTTCTAGCCACCTGCCTGTGGCACTTTGTCTCAGCAGCACTGGAAACTCACACGGGCTTTGACTTCTTCCTTGACACCTTCCAAACCTCTGTCCCACCTGGGAACCCGGCACTCCGCAGGTACCGCCCCTTCTCCCTCCTATCCCCGCCCCCTTTCCTCACGTCCATCCCCCACTGAACCCATCAGCAAAATGCTGCCTGGTGAGGTCCCCATAGCAACCGCTCTGAAGCCAGAACCGGATTACGACACCGACACCGATCAGCAAGGGAGACCAACTGCGAGGGGAGGTGGGGGCTGGGCGGGGCTGCCGAGAGAGAAAACAAACAGCCAAGGGGACAAGCCCTGGAGGTGACAGGAGGTGTTCCGGAAGCAAAGCGCTGTGAGAGGTCTCCTAACCCGTACAAAAGCGGAAGGGCTGGGGGCCTTGCGGACTGGAAGCCTCTGCCTGTAGGGCCTGAGATGAGCCTGGTGCAGGGCTATAGGGACAAGGCCGTCTCTCTCTCTCTCTTTCTCTCTCTCTCTCCCTCCCTCCCTCCTTATCTCCCTATCTCTCTCTCTCTCTTCCTTCCAGAGACGCAACCTCAGCAAGAGCCAGCCCCTCCTCTGCATTGTGGGGCAACAGAATGGGCCCCTGGCCATGCCCAGGGACACTGGCCAGCTGGGCTCTCCCCTCCGTGCTCCTCGCTCTGCTCCGGGGGACCCGCCCCGACTTAGACACAAGCCTGGCTCCTTCCTTTCCTGGACAGCAGGTGCGCCGGGCTGACCCTAGGGGCTGGGCCTCTGGTCTCCCTGGGCCTCGTGGACCACCAGGATTGGGCCCTCTCCGCGAGCCTACAACCCCATCTCCTGCTGCAAGCAGCGCCCCCTGCCGGTCTCTGGCCACGCTGTTTCTGAAGTCGTCTCCTCGCCCAGGTTGCTAACTGCTGTTCCCCTCACCTCTGCCCAGGTCCGCCCACTCCACCCTCATGGCTCTGGGCCTGCGGACCACGCGGACACTCCCCCAGCCGTCTGTGCTGCTCAGCACCAGACTTAAGCCTCCTGTGCTGCTCAGCACCAGACTTAAGCCGCTCAGGCCACCCAAACTGGGGCCCCATGCAGACACACCAGCACACTCCGTCACTCACGTGACACACCCTCACGCACCAACACACACTCAGAGATTCACATGCAGACACTCACAGACACACACAAACCACTCATAGAGACACACACACCAACACACAAACTAACACGCTCACATGGACTGCTCACACACCAACACGCAGACAGCACACACACACAGACTCATGCAGACACACCTACACAGACTCACTCACCCAACACACTCAGACATGCTCACATACCAGCACACAAACAGGCACAGAACACACAGAGACACACATGTAGACATGCTTACACAGACACACACATGAAGGCACACACGGACACACACCAGCACAATCACACATATAGACACATACCAACACACAGACATGTCCACACACACGCCAACAAAGACTCACTTGCAAATAGACACATGCAGACACATGCCAACTCACACAGGCACACACATTCATGCACACCAACACACACACAGACTCACACTCACCTATAGACACACCTACATACCACACAGAGACACATACACAGGGATACATTCATTCACAGAAGCGCTCACACTCGTTCACACTCGCAGACACACACGCATCCCAGTCCTGCAGCCTGGGAAGTTCGTGCGGGCTGTGTGGGCACTGTGGACGGCGAGCCTGACGAGCCTCCTGGAGGGGCCCAGGTCAGGCAGGTGGATCTGAGTGGGGTCGTCGGAACTTGAGGGCCCCTGGGTAGCAAGGGCTGCCACGTGCTGTCTCTCTGTCTCTCTCTTCCCCGTCCCCACTGCCCAGCCCAGCTGGCACCGTGCAGGACACACGTAAGCTTGTCGTAAATACGTCTTAAAGGAGGAAAAGTTAAAGCTACGCAAGCGTGCGCAGTGGCCGCCACTTTACATTTTGAACGCAGGACTTCAAGGCACCCTTGCATAAACCACTGGGCGATTCTCAAAGAGGAGGATGGGAAAAGATTGCCGATGTTCTTAACTGCCAGCCTTCCTGTGTCGTGACTTCCTGACTGAGCCCTGATCGCCAAAGGCACCCCCTGGAAGACGCTCCCTCTGTCTCTAGTGCACGTTCTCGCTAGTGTTCGGCACAAGGAGACCTTCAACTTCCGGCGGGGGGAATAAATTAATGAGAAAACCAGCAAGCCCTTCCCCTGGGCCTCAGCACAGATGTGGGTGCGGTGGGGCATCCATCAAGATGGGTGTGTAGGGCCAGGTGGTGGCACAGCTGCAATGCCGTGGAAGGTGGCAGGTTCACGTCCTAGGGCCTCCCTGTCCACACCAGGCACACACGTGTGCATGCAATCTGGGCCGGCCAAGGTAAGGGTAGATCACAGCATGAAGACCCCCTTGGGCTCTCTCAAACCAAGTAAGTAAATAAGCAAACTTAAAAAATAAGATGGATGGGACCAGCAGGTGGCATGATGGTTACATTGCTGAACACTCGTGTTCGAGTCCTGGACCTGGCGGCTTAAAACTCACACCAGGTGTGTGTGCGTGCGTGCCCGAAATCCCAAGAGGAGAATGGAAGAGAAGGGACTGTGGCGTGGTCATCCCCC